TCTTGTTTGTTTTTGATAATATTAAAAAATAGTTCAGATAAAAATTGAATGGTTTTAAAGGGGGCGTAATATGAATGATCTATTTATTTTTTTTATACATATAGATGCGTGGAGATTATATGAAGATTAAATTATTTTTTTAAATAGGATTATATATATTTTTTAATTCATCAGTATTCTTAATAAAAAGAAACTATTAAATTCCTTATAATAAAAAGTTATTGATTCTGGAGATATTTAATTATATTTAATTATCTTGCTAATACTAATAATTTTTCGATCTACATATTTTAGACTTTCTAATAAAGAATGCAAGATTCTAAGAATTTGACGTTATTTCCAAAAATTTTGCAAATTCTAAAAATTTGAAATCATTTCCGAAATTCTTTAAATTTTTCGATTCGTGAATTTAATTTATGAAGGGACGAGATAATTTTTTGATTTTCTCGTTAAAAGATCGAAATCTTCCGTTTTAGAATTGCTGACCAAGTGTTTAAATGATTAGACGATTTTATAAAAAATTTATCATTTATCATTTATCAATTTTGAAATATTTATAAATATACAATATATAAATGTATTAAAATTTTTATTATATTTACATTAAAAATATTTAACGTAAATATAATATGATATGAACTTTTTTAACAATGATAATAATTATCGCACAATTTATGTATGAAATATGTACAAAAATATATGAATATTTAGAACATTTAAAAAATCTCATTTATATAAATATTCTGATAGATTTAATTGGTGTATATAAGCATTGTATTAAGATTTTCAATCAATAAATTAAGTAGGAAAGAAATAATAAAATTGATCAGACATCGTGTTTTAGATACATAAATTTTGCAGAGCAAATGTAGATAAGAACAAATAGTAGAAAAAGGACAGAGATAGGATAAAAATATGGATATCAGCGCCATCTTCAGAGTGCCGTAAATGAAACTAATAGAAAATAAAAAAAGAGATAGAGATAGAATAAGAATTGACTGTCAGCGTCATCTGTAAGATAATGTGAAGTAAGAATTCGCGATTAGTGCCATCTTTCGAAAATTTTCAGAAATATGTCTTTGTTCAAGAGATGGCGCTAGTTATCAATTCTTACTCTAACTTATCTTGCATTTTAAAAGATGTCTTTGGTATTCAAAAGATGGCGCAAATGATCGATTCTTATTCCATTTTTCTCCTCTTATTATTTACTTTGTTTATATTTGTGTTTCATTTTCAAGATGGTGCTGATTTCCTTACTTTTGTTCTATATTCATTATATTATTTATCCATATTATTTCTGGCGTACCTATATTTTAACTGCTAATGAAAAATCGATATTCGACGCGTTGTTTTTAAGTTGATAAATTAATAAATCAAAGATTGTTTTAAAACGAAAAATATGATTGGAATATATATTTATTTAACAGCTGTAATATGTCTAATCATATTTATTTGCTCATGTATTGTTACTAATAGATGCTATACGCTTAAATACAGTTGATGTATTGCAGAAACGAATATACCAAAAAACTTAGCAATGTACACGCTATTCAAGTCATTTTTAAATAGATTATTTTATCATTTATCGATTATATCGTCCAACAAAAAGTGGTAGGGTGGTATCGTTAAATATATTAATTTCATAGTGTCAACGATCGAAAATGTCTTCAGCTAAGCGATTTCTCCGTAGAAAGGATCGTGTAAATGAAAATATAAAAAAAATGTTGGAGGACGGGTAGGTACGAGAGTGGATGAAAGGATAGTGAAACGAAATTAAACAAGGGAAGATATCTCTATACAAAAATAATCGGTGAAAGGCGAGAAAATAAAACGCTCTCACGAACGCTCGTATGATACAAGTCGACGAGATAATACTTTTTCTTTAATAAGATTAGACTGAATCTTAATCTTTTTTTTTTTCATACACTTCATACACGCATACACACGACAGACACACGCAGATTCATTTTCTCTTCTTGATTGTTTTCACACATTCGTTCTCTTTTTCTCTCAAAGTCCCTTTCAATCTTGTAACGCGTGCATTTCGCTACACAATGGCTACGATGATAATATATTTGTTTGTTGTGTGATGTAAAATAATAATACACATTAACGTTTGCGAACAAAATGAGACCGTCATATCGAATGGTGTTATCTAATTGTCATGCATAATGCGTTGCTGTGCAGAACTTAATTTTAAAAACAGGGTAAACACGGACAAAGAAAAGTATAGAATACAACAATAATGTTCACGGCGGTTAAGAAAAATCTCGGTGCACGAATATTTTATTTCTCGAGTTTCGATCATTCTTAAGAATGAGGACTTTTTTTTTTTACATCGTGCAACCGGTCCTTTTCCCTCCGATGCTCGTTAATCGATCGATACTTCCATGTTATTTAAATAATCAATCGGATCGAGCGAAGCGCAATAACGGAAACAGAAAATATCTTACACGCAAATCTCGATGCTCTCTTTTTACAATGAAAAACTTCTTCACATCTTTGGTAGAAACTACTAAATAAATTATATTGTCACTTACAGTAAGAATTGGATCGAATCCTCAAAAAAAGAAGATTCCACAGAACGCGACCGTGAAAAATTTGGCTTCTCGAATAATTTTTTTTTTTTTTACCTTATTTCATCGTTCTCTTCTTTATCCGATACTTGGCAAAAAGACTTGTTGCCGAGAACGCATCTTGTTTGAAAGATGATACACACAGCATATGAACAGAAAAAACATCGTCCATTTTACTGTTTGTTCACGAGAAGCGCACAAGGAGGTAAATTAGAGAAATATACACGCATATACAAAGTCCTGAAATACAATTCGGTGTGCTTGAGAATATTATACGTCGGTATGACAAACGCTATTAATAATACAATATACGGAGTGTATCATCATATTATCGTTTGATTTACAGATGTATTTTCAATTTAAAAAATTTAGAAAACAAATTCTAATAAATGCGAGTCCTATAATTATTTAATTTTTGAAATATGTTAGGATGGATAGTACTTAATTAAAATATTGTCCCCGTTTATGATTAGATTTTTAATATAATCTGAAACTTAGAAACTAGAAACTGCTATAATATATATAATCTATTTGAAGCCAATGATTAAATGTCAATCAATAACATTATAAGTAATAATAAACTAATAAAATAATATTCAAGATATTCTTAAAATATAGTCACATCAGTATATTATTTTTCAAGTCTCATGTGTTATAAAAAGTAAAAATTGTTCATCTAGAACTTGTAATGATATATATGCCAATGGAAGCCATTTTGCACAGATATTTAAAAATATTGTGAACACATTTTCTTATATTTCATCTTTAATTAAATTATATATCTATATATTTATAAATTATCTAATATCTAATCTATCAATTCAAAACTTCAGACTTGTAAACGATAACTGACGATCGTTTATATCAATGTCAATGATATTTTTTAAAACTTTTTTCAGCATTGAATCATTAAGTTTTTATAACTTTTAATTTACCGACACTTGATTATACTTTAATCGATACATTAAATCTAAAAAAATAATTATTCTTCAAAATCAAACAATTCCAGAATTTACATCTATCAGAACTTTTTTTTTAACATTTAAAACATAAAATACATTTGTAAATCTTATATTCAAAGTATTTCCACAGTACATTATTCTCTCCGTACATTAAACTAGCGTTTACAGTGTGGCTGTGCGTCAAGGTACGTATACACGATGCAGAACGAATAACAAATAAAACGGAAAAATGAAAACACAAACGAAAGAAGAGACAGATATCGTTCACTATTTAGCTGGAGCTCGTCATGTCTTTTTATCTCTCGTTTTCATTCACTGCCAAATGAGTCGATTGATCACATTATTATTCGTCAATCTATTTATAGAAAATTATCCAATATTTATACAACTTAAACAAAAAAAACCCAATTTGTCCCTTGAATATCGTCGACTTTCTGGCACGTTCATACCGAACGAAGAAAAGTCAAGTGGGACGAGCACACGAATATTGATCAAATGATAAAAAGAAGAAAAAAAAAGAGATTAACGATACTAGATTAAAGATCGATCGACTTTCTATCAATTTCGATTTGAACGAGAGCTGACTTGCGAACATTCAGTTCGTGAACGGAGCGAGGTCTCAACCAAGACTTGATACAAATAATCCTAAAACGCTATGTGTCACATTAAACTCGACGTAAATTATCTACTTAAACCATTTTGCCTATTCACTAGGTAGCCTCTATTTTCGCACGCTTTTCACTTTCTCTCTCTCTCTCTCTCTCT